GAAACAATAGCAAGGCCTAAATATTCTGTCTCTACCAATAACCTTTGAATTTATTTGAACTCACTTTATTAGATATTTTTGTGCAGGATAAAGGAGGAAGATGCTGCATTTAGGCTACTTCTTTTTGTATTTTTAGAGACAGGTTCTCACTATGTTGCTCAGGCTGGATTCAGACTCCTGAACTCAAGCAATTCTCCTAGCTCAGCCTCCCAGGTATCTGTAACTATAAGCATGCATCACCATGTCCAGTTTAGGCTATTTTATTTTTGTAAAACAATATTTATTGTTATTCTTATTAAAGTTCTAAAGCCACATTTCAGATAATTTGGGAAATACAAAAAGATAAAAGTAAAAATAAATATCATAGTTATCCCATTATTCAGAGATTCACATTTGTATTTTTTATTGTTTCTTCTATAAATATTACTTTACCAAAGTTAGAAACATACTATATATAAAATATTATATTCTTACTTTTAAAATTTGACATTAGCATAAACAATTTTACATCAATAGGTATTATTTGAAAGCAGATTTTAAAATGATAGTGCCATGATTTATTTCACTATTCTCCTATTATGTGGATGCATTCATACTCAGAACTTAGGCCTTTTTTTTTCCATTTTCACAAATCTGCAATGTGATGAAAATCTGCAATGTGATGAATATCTCTGTGCACAAGTGTTTGTCAGAGTTTCTAATATTTGCTCAGAATAGTTTCCTAGAAGGGGAATTATTGAGTCAAAAGGTATTAACATTTTTAAAGCTCTTGGTAACATATGACCAAATTGTTTTACAGAAAAAATGCATTCCCATGTCTATTACTATATTTTAGAGCTACTTAGGCATTCTGCTTCACTGTAGACTAACATCAGCATGAATCAGGCCCATCTTGGATTCCTTCCAAGAGATGTTTTACAAGGTACAAGAATGGCCTCACTCTGTGTGGGCTGGCATAAAATAATACCTCAGAGCATGAATACCCAAAGACAGTATTATCCTAAGTCTCTTGCACATTTATCGCCTCGTTTTTCTAGAGATAAATGTTAGTCTTTGGGTTTCCTGAGCAATAAGTTGGAGAGAAAAGTGGAAGGGGTGGGTTAGTTTAAATTCTCAGAGCATTTTTTTGTGTGTGTGCATCAGTGCAAAGTTACAATTTTTGAATAGATACCTGTATTTCAGCTTGTCCCATGGTGCCCAAGGAATTTAGGGCATCATTAAAAGAGATGAAAGGAAACAGTTGTCAAAAGACCTAGAAAAATCAAGTGTGTGAAGCCTGAAAACAGGATTTCAAGCTCTGTGAGTGCTAAATTCACAGCTGTGCTTCCTACATTCACAGCTGTGCTTCCTGTCAGATTTAGGCCACTGGGTAAGCATCTTTGGAAGATATCATTCATATACAAGATACACACACACACACACACACACACACACACACACACACACACACACGTACATTTTTAACCTAAGAAAAAGCAAACAATTGAAATTAGAACAGGCTGACAAGTTTTCTTGAAAGTAGTCATTTTTATTCTTAATGGGGTAGGAGATAACTACTCTGAGTCAAATGAGTATTTTTGACCCTTCTATCTGTGACTTAAAGTATTTAATTTCAAAATTGTGTTATCTGAACACAGTGAGAAATTTTTCACAGGTTTGATTGTGGTGAAATATAGTGAATTAATAACAAGTAAACAATGTCTCTCTGTGTGTGTGTGTGTGTGTGTGTGTGTGTGTGTTTACAGACAGAAAGAACTAATGTAGAATTATATATTCTGCAGACCATGGAATCCAATATATCCATGGAGACTGACTCTTTCTTCTTAGACCTCTTAAGAGCCTGTGTGGTAACTGGTGACAAGTTCTGGTAATTCCAGAACAACAAAGGTTGGCATACATATTCCTGTCTTCAAAGTTGGGGTTCTGGTAGAGTTAAATTCCTTTAACACTGTATTTCCTGTTGTTCAGGATCCTGCTTAGATCACAGAGATAGGAATCACTGTGCTTGTGTCATGCTTTCCTTTGAAGGCATGTTTGGGTGTTAACTAATTATTAGGCAAATAGACCATTCTTTTTAAGATTTTTTTCTAAAAGTGTGTTTGTTGATACTATGATCAGGCTATTGATAGAAATCTTTTAAAGCAGTTTTCTGAATATCTCTCTGTAAAAGTAAACAGAAATAAAATTAATACAGATGGTAGAATGGGGAGCAGGGGTGTGAGTGTTTTTGGTAAGAATGTAGTGCTGACAAGGCTATGATCCCCCCCAAGACCAGGGAAACAATTCCATTTATGCCAAATAGGTCATTCTCCCCACCTTTACCAGCAATCTCAAAACATGATGAGGCTGTTAGTCATGAGAGGAGCTGGATCAGAGGGAGAAAATTTTTCCCCTCAAACTTACCTCTGCCAATGGCTCTTCTCCTGGCAATGACTTGTCAGCATTATCATCCTTGAATATGATGGCTTTCTTCTTAGGTAATAGAGAATTGAAAATACACCTCATACATTAACCCTGGCTTTACCTTGCAAATGCCAGGTGTCAGCTGTCAAAGCAAATAATTCAGGTGAGCACAAAGAGGGCAAGGGCTGTGCTCACAGGAGGAAAGGAGTGCAAGGTGTTGAGAGACTGCAGGATGCCCTGGTGGTGCCAGCTGCAAACACGCCTCCTGTCCAACAGTCAGTGGCTTGCTCTGGGCATGGCTCTCGCCACATCCCAAGCACTCAGTAAATATTCATCGATGAGATCAGGAACAATAATGCCTGCCCTTTCACAGCCACATCTGACCATCCCTCCACCTTCCAGGCCACTCCCAGTAGAATCCATGGCTGGGCTAACTAACCTATGAGTGAAGGAAAGGAGGCTAGTAAACTATTTCCTGACCATGTCTCTAACACTTTAAAATAAATATTTTCTAATGTATTGGGAGAACTTACTGCAGCTCTTTTTCCTCCACCCTTTTCCCCGTCATGTTTATTATCAGTGCTTGGGACTCTGTTGCCCCAAATAGTTACATAGCCAAAGCCAAGTCAAAAGACATTTGAAAAATTAAAAACAAATACTATAAAACTGTACCTTTCAAAAGCTAGTAGTCTTCACTTTCAAAGGGTTCTAACTAATACACAAATGTAAAGTGTTCCGTTTCTTTGAAGAAATGCAGCTTCTGTGGAACTAGTGTGATAGGAGTCACTGAACATGATAAACCAATTTAAGGATTGTCAAAAAATGGCTATTCTTTCCCCAAAGGTAATCTCAAGGTATGCTTGCTTTGGGTCACCAATGAGCACAGTAGAAACTAATTAACTAGTTTGTTTAAGCTACTATTTTTCTTGAAGTTATCTTAACTATTACAATATTTCTTCCTTAAGTTCTGACTATGTATTATTGAAAAGAACATTTTCCTACACAACTATAATACCATTATCACTCCTAACAAAATCAAGAGCAATTCCTTAGCAGTATTTAACATTCATCTTTTTTTTTTTATATTTCTTTAATTGATCCTAAATGTCATTTACAGTTGGTTTATATGAACCAGGATCCAGTCAAACCCCACACAATGCATTTGGTTGTTGTGTCCCTTAAATATCTTTTAACATAGACTAGTCCCTGCCCTCTCTCTCTACAACATTGACTTAATGACGAAATCTAGCCAGTTGTTCTATAACGATTAGCCTTATTTTATAATTGCTAGATAAGAAGGCAATACCAATAGGCAAAATAGTCTTGCCATCTTAACTTGGTGTCTTTATTCCACGATTGATAATTTTGATCTGTGTTTTACTGAAACCTAGCCCTAAGGGCAAAGAAAACACATCTCATACAAAAAAACCAAAAGAAAATAAAAACCCTGACCTTGATTGAATACGAGTTTACATGTTGTAGTCCTATGGCAGAATCTCTGTGATTTAGATCCATGAATCTGGGTCAACAGCAATTTTTCGTCGATCTGGTGCCCAGTTCCTTAAATGCCCACTGTTACTTCCCTCTACCTCTTCATTTTCAGTTCACTTTTCAGACAGCTCACAGTCTTTACATGTGAGTTGCCTTTAGGAAGATATACGATTCCTTACCAGCTCTATAAAGTATCTCCCTGGGAAGGAGACTATATTAAAGTGGAAACGTGTTTACTGAATTTCCCTTTCAGTTAGTAGTATCTGATCTACGTCTCTATCCTTTTTTCATATGGAAAATAAAGTTCCCATGAGAGAATGGCAATTAGAGTACTCCCTCCAATAACCTTAAGCTTTACAGTGCACGTGCATTGGGCATGTGGGGAAGGGGTTCCTTATTTACGATGAAACAAAATTATCATTAAAAAATTTGACTCCCGAGTGAAATATCTAGAAAATGGTACCCCCTGGTTAGCTAGTAAGGGTGAAACGTTATCCTTCTTATACCTGTGGACTTAAGTGCTTCCTGTAGACTGCATTGTAGTTCCTATTAAACCATATTCAACTTGGGTGACCTGAGGCAGCCCACCCATCTTTCTTAGCCTTGTACTTTCAATATAAAAGTTAGGAGATTGGATTAATCTCGTAAGTTTCTGTATAGCTGTTGAACTCGATGATTCAGTCATGTTCATAGCAATTCCAGTTTTCCCATTTTTTATCTCTCCTCTTCCCATTTGCAGTGTCTTCTGACAGGTTCTTGCCTTTGTGTCAGGAGCCTCTGTAATAGTGAGAAAGCCATGAGTCAAGAGGCCGCTGTTCTTAGTCTTCAAGTATAACTTTGCTGAACAGGTAATTTCATGTCTAGGCCTACAGGCTTTGGGTTTCCCATATATAGATATATAGAAACTACTCAGTTGTCTACTTACAACCAGTAAACCCAAACACATTTATATTAAAATGTGTGTTATCATCGGGTTGCTTGGAGCTGACTAGATAAAAAACATATAGAACAGGGTTCAAGCAGGAAGTGGGAGAGGAGGCGCCTCGAGGCAGGCTGCAGGCGACACCTTGTTGAGTCACTGTGGGTGCCACTACAGGTGTCTGGGGAGATAGAGGGACCAGGTCTGGGCTCACAGGAATTACAGCCATGGTCCCCACCCTCTAGGATTTGGTCGATAAGGCGTCTGTGCACATGAAAACAAGGAACCTGCCAAGGCAAAAGATGCTCTTCCTCTTATAGAGGACTCTAGTTAAACTGTGACATCGTAAAAGCTACTCAATATGGGATTTTTGAATGATGTAAAGAGTTAGTAGAAGTGAGATATGATGTCAGGCAGTCGGACAAAGAAATTGTGTCGCTTCTTCACTAGGCTGCTATTAACAGGCTGGTACTTGTAAAGTTTTATATTTCAAGAGGTGCTGTTGTAGATCAGTTGGGTGGAGATTCCAATTCCTCTCTTCTTCATTGGACCATCCAACAAGGACATTCATCTATGGTCATATTATTACTCCAGCATGGTATAGACTCTACTCTCATTGATGGAGAGGCATTCAGCACCAACCACCTGGCATTATTATTTCAACACATAAATATTATAGCATATCTCATTTCAAAGGGGCAGAGTGTGAATATGACAGATGTAAATGGATAGACACCACTCATGTTATCAGCTCACAAAGCAATTGGGCCTGAACCAAATGGATTTCTTTTAAAGTTTAATCCTTCTCTCACTGTGGTTGACAAGAAACACCAAAACACTTTACTGGGCAGTTGCAGCAGGAAATGTTAATGTAGTTGATAAACTTTTAGAAGCCTGGATATCCGAAAAGCTAAGGAAGAGAGAGACACCCCTTGACATGGCTCTACAAAACAAAAATCAGCTCATTATTCACATGCTAAAAACAGAAGCTAAAATGACAGTCAATCAGAAGTTTAGACTTTGTTGGTGGCTACAGAAATGTGAGCTCTTCCTGCTGCTCCTGCTTTCTCTGATTACCATGTAGGCTGTTGGATACATACCGGATTTCAGTTCAGATTTGTGGCTTGTAAAAGGATGTCTTCTGGTAACATTGTTTTTTCTGACATCTTTGTCTCCAAGGTTCTTGGCAGGGTATAAGAACTTTGTATACTTGCCAACAGTCTTTCTGCTAAGTTCCATTTTTCGGATATTTATGACTTGGTTCATCTTATTTTTTCCTGATTTTAGCAGGAACCCCTTTCTATTTTGCTTTCATTTTCAGCATAATAGGCTTTTTTTACTTTTTCTACAACTGATCCAGGCTTCACTAAGACTTGTGAAAAAGAAAGAAAAGTGAGTATCTTTTGTAGAAACTGGCTGTCTGGACTTCAGAACATTTTGTGCATCATGTCCTATAAGGAAGCCATAAAGATCACTCCATTGCTGTGTATGCACCTCCTGTGTGGCTTGATATGATCATCACTGCCTGTGGACCAGATGCTGCATACGTTTTGGTAACCATTGCTATTACATATTATTCTTGTTTTCCTTTCCATAGTATGTGACTAGATTATCTATGGATCATTTGTCTATTGGTCAAATCATTGTGCCACAACATTCAAAGAAGATGAACTGTGGTCTTACCCCAGTCAGACTGTAGCCTGTTCCCTTTGGGTTTTATACATCTTCATGCTAGCAGCTTTCCATTTCTTACGGTCAACGTTTTGGTTATTAAATCTGCTCTTTCAGATCGCTTTTCTGGGCCGGACCGCCCATGAGAGAATCAGCCTGCTGAAGCAGAGCAGGCATATGACACAGCCAAGGTCCCTCAGGAAGACACTACACCTTGGAGTCATGCAGAACCTGGCAGATTTCTTCCAGGATGGCTGTTTTGGCTTGGTGAAGCCCTCTGTAGTAGATTGGACATCTCCATACACCATAGTCTTCCACCCAGCCCAAGAGAAGGTTCTTCTCTCGGTATGAATAAAAGCAACCCAAAACTCTCTGTTGTTTTTGTTTATGTTGATGCCCTGTGGTCTGAGAGAGAAGTGAAGGCAGAGAGTTCGTCTAATTCTAAGGGAAAAAACTGGTGGTTTTAAAGCCATTTGATAAAAACAGAAGTTCTCAATGAATGCATTACACTATTTTTTTTGAGTTGGAGTCTCACTCTTGTCACCCAGGCTGGAGTGCAGTGGCAAGCTCACAGCCACCACAGCCTCAACCTGCTGGACTTAGGCAATCCTTCTGCCTCAGTCTTCCAAGTGCCTGGAACTACAGATCCATGCCACCGTGCCTGGCTAGTTTTTTTATGATTTATTGTAGAGACGAGGTCTCACCAAGTTGCCTAGGCTGGTCTCAAGCCCCCAGGCTCAGGCAATCCTCTTGCCTCAGCCTCCCAAGGTGCTGGGATTACAGGCTGAACCACCGTGCCCAGCCGACATTACACTTTTTTAGATTTAGAAAGTTGGACTGTTCTGTTCAATTTTGGCAGATGTCTAAAAAAACTTTTATATTTTTCACAAGAAAATGCAAGTTTACTTTTTTGTGGTAATATTCACTAATTATGGATAATATTGACTACTTTCAGATACTATATTGGCTGTTTCAAAATGATACAATTAAGCTTATCCTTTTGCTGAGTTATTTGACTTTGTTGTGTCAATAAATATGTTTTTAAAAGTTTAAATAGACATACCTGTTTTGCTTTCACACTTGATAATTTTTTTTTCTGTAAACAAAAAATATGTATATATAAAACAAGCAAGTATAGTAGTACTGGCCAGGTGCGGTGGCTCAAGCCTGTAATCCCAGCACTTTGGGAGGCCGAGGCGAGAGGACTGCCTGAGACGGCAGGTTCGAGACCAGCCTGGGGCAGCATGGTGAGTCCTCGTCTCTACAACAAATCAAAAAATTAGCTGGGTGTGGTGGCACATGCCTATAGTTCCAGTTACTTGGAAGACTGAGGCAGAAGGATGGCATGAGCCCAGCAGGTGAGGCTGCCGTGGTCATGAGCATGCCACTGCACTCCAGCCTGGGTGACAGAGTGATACTCCCACTCAAAAAAATATATATGTATATAGTAGTAGAGAATGGAATACTTGAAATTCAGTACATATACCCACTGCCTACACTAAAAACAGGAATGCATTATTGGGCCTGGACCTTCTGACAGGCACATACAGGCTTATTATGTCACTAATCGCCACGAGCTGGCCAGCCTGTTTTAGGAATGAACAGTGCACCCTGACTTTGTGCATAACACAGCGAGGATTCCAACTCAGATCTTCTTCCCTCTCAGGCCAGTTCTCTTCCCAATGTTCAAACTCAACTTTTTAAGTTGTATATTATTGTTTATATTTAGGCTGTGTGTAATTCAAGATCCGTCCCCATTTTTCTCATGTGTTACCCTACAGAATAGATTCCACAGACAAATTTAGAAAGCTTTTCAGAATGATTCATATTTGGAGAAAAATTCAGCCACAAGATATTTGTACCGCAACCTCAATTTGTGTCTTATAAAAGTTCTTTCATGAAGCTGAATAGACCAAAATTCCTGCCTCGTGTTTTAAAAATGGATTGGTTATTAATGTGTACAGTTATTTCCCCCTCTTCTATTTTTGCTGTCTGGTCAGCACATCCGTGGCCTTTTGAAGCAGCTGGGATATAAATATAAAGTGGGCACTGAGGCCCACTAGGAGGGGAGAACAGCTGAAAGAGCACAGCAAAGCCCCAGGCTCTGCGGGCCGATGGGCCAGTCCAGGCACGTCGGTTTCGGTCGAATTGACGGGGCGGCTTTATGCTAAGCAGGCTTTAACGATTTAAAGGTTGGCAGAGGAAGTTGTGTTTCTTGCCATGAGACTGTCCCTCTCTGCTTGTAATTTACGTGGTTAATTAAAGCCAGACTTTTTGATGGGGCATCATCTTTGCCAAAATTTGAGGTGTGGTAGTAGTGTGTGCCCATTTCTGGCTTACTTTTTAAAGGTGCACATTATATATACTAGTAACAAGTGTAAAAGTCGTTTGTAGTTCAAAGTCAGTTGGCGTCATCCCTACCGATTGATGGATGTGCTACTTTATGAATGTGTTTGAAAGGCACTTGTCTAAAAGCAAGGTGAGCGTTTATAACATTTATGGTTCCTTTTGCAAACCCTGGCGGGACTTTTGTTTTTATTGTTTTGTTTGCTCTTGGCAGAATCATTTCTTAGACTTCTCATGAGGGAGGATTGCTATTGTTTATGAATGATAGTTGACTTGCAACTCAAATTGTTGACAAGGAGCTAACATTTTTCTATCAGGGGACTAGAAGTTATGCACACGTATCCAGTAGAAAAGTCTCCATATAGATTCAGTTAACAGCTTGCTGCAGCAAACATGTATGAAGTGCCCAAAGGGTGCCAGGAATTGCCAACAATGAGTTGTGCGGATGTGATCTCAGCCCTCCAGGACACATGGCTATTTTCCCCAGTTCAATGAATCTCAAATGCATTTTGTAAAATAAACTACATATTTTATGTATGTATTTATTCTTTTTTTCTATTATAATAATTAAAGATTATTTTGGCTTTACATATCTAGATGTCATATGATTAAACTTCTGTATTCTCATTATTTTCTACTTGTTCCTCAGTTTTCTCCTCTGTAAAGTGGGCATAATGATAGGATTTACCTCATAAGGTTGTTGTGAAGATTAAATTAATTGATATGGGCCAGGCTCCATGGCTTAATTTGTAATCCTAGCACTTTGGGAGGCCGAGGTGAGTGGATTGCCTGAGCCCATGGGTTCGAGACCAGCCCGGGCAACTTGGCAAGAACCCATTGCTACAATAAATAAAAAATTAGTCGGGTGTGGTAGCATGCTTGTATTTCCAGCTACTTGGAAGGCTGAGGTGGAAGGATTGTCGGAGCCCAGCAGATCGATGCTGGGGTAGCCGTGAGTGTGTCATTGCACTCCAACCTGGGCAACAGGGTGAGACTCCAACTCAAAAAAAAAAAAAAAAAAAAACCTTAATTGAGATTTATCAGTGTTTAAAATAATTTCTGACACAAAGTAAGTGTTCAGTAAGTATTAGCAACTGTTCTTATCATCTGTCCAGCCATCGTCTGGATTTACTTCTTCTGAGTTGCTAAAAGCATTCTGAATCATTTGGCATTTTCCCAGAGACCCGTACATCAAAACCTTCCTGCCACACCCAAGCTAAACTTGATTTTCTTGCAGAATTTCTATCTTAACATTTGCTACCACTAGTAACATAGTAATTCATTTCACTATGTTCCCATTTGCCACAGGGCCTTTGCACATGCTGTTCTTTGTCTTAGAATGTCCTTCCCACTTCTCCCAGTTAACTTCTGCTTCTCTTCAAAGATTACATCTCAAATGTCTTTTACTGAGATGGCATTTGACCTCCTTGAATAGGTCAAATCATATGTAGCACTTAGCTCAGGAACCATTTTACATTTATTTGTCTAATTACCTGGTTAATGTCTGGCTCTCCCACCAGAATATAAACTCCATGAGAACAAGGGTAGTATCAATTTTTGTTAATCATGGTATCCCCAGCACCTACCCCAGTTCCATAACTACATAGCAGGTACTTAATAAACATTAGTATTAGGATTAGAAGACTGTAGTTTATGTATTATTTATTATTTAATTACATATTGTTCATAATAAATACTATAACGAAGAAGTATATGAAGTAAGAAATGAAACTGCTCTTATACACTATAATTTTATCTCTTGGAGGTATTCACTATTGACAAACTATTTTTTTGTTGTTGTTGTTGTTTAGAAAGCAGGATTTATTGAGAAGACAGAAAAGCTCCCACAGTGGGAGGGGACCTGAAGGGGTTGCCCTGACATACTTTTTTTTTTTTTTTTT